ATAATTCAATATAGAAAAAACATCTTGCGTTTAAAGCAAAGGCATACAATTATCTACAATAAATTAATTTCTACATACATTATTCTAAACTTGCTTATTCTTAGATTGTCCGACGAATATGAGTTAAATTGGTTCTTAAATGTTAACCATATTAAATTATTATTATTAAGTAAAGCGTCATAATTTTTAGTTATTGTAACCGTGTATTAGACGATGCAAAGCAACGCAGAGTACGCGGAGTGGTTCCGCGGTCGGCCGAAGCGGCTGGAGGTAGCGTTAGCGGCGCCGACAATGACCAAGGTGACGCCGCGACTGCTCGCGGACTTGGGCTGCGAGACGCCTAGGATAAATTACGACTTGTGTAACGGTAATAAGATAATACAATCTAAATGTGAAATTACTGTCATAATAATTTAAAAGCTTATTTTCATGGTTTTTTAACATTTCCTAATTTGGTTAATTTTTTTTAAATACAATCTTTCTTGGCTTTTTCCAATTAACGTTAAATCAAATTTCTAACTTGTAAATTATTTCTTCTTTTAAAGAGAAGGATTGAGTTGAGAATACTATTTTTACAGAAGTTTTTCAGCAGTGGAACCTCAGTTTAAATCTCTATAAATGAGCAACTTCCCAGTCATAAAACAATCATTTAATTACAGGGAGGCCGTATAGATATTTCTACGCGATCAGTTCAGATGTCGATGCTGAAAATCCAGGAGCGGTAAGTTGTTTTCCAGTTGAAACTGAAAAACGTAATATGATTATTGAAAAATTACTTCTGTTAAAAAAATAAACAGATTATGCATATTATATCCGACCTCCGATGAATCAAAAATAAAACAAAAATTAAAAATAATTGTATATCCTGCAAGTGAAAAGCTATTTATTAAGTGCGTCTGTTTTGTACTTTTTAATTAATTGAGTTACAGCTGCAATTGATAATTATTTTGTTTTATTCGCTTTATGAGAATACACTGAAAGAGAATGTTTGTCGAATACCACTGTAATTTTGTTATTTTAAATCTTTTTATGTAACACAAAACAAAATTCCGTAAAACGAATTGTTACTTGCACATTTCTATCATATAAATTATGAATATAAGTAAAATCTTATTTTATTGTTTACATGTGTCCAATAATCAATTGCAAATGTCAAAATACCAATTACCTTACTATGGCAATTTTGCTTTCTTGATGTTGGCAGCAACTTATGGTCTCTTTCTCACATTAGGGTTTTTTATCCAAAATATTAACCGCCTATGTTTAATGGCGTGAAAATATATAGCCTAAAGCATGACGTAAGTGTAGGGCTTTTTATTACAAAAAGAATTATTCAAAAATATGCTATAATTGCTGACATCTTAGGCAACAAAGAAGTGTGTGTTTATGCTTTAATATAATAGTATAGATAGTATTATAATAGTATAGATTAATTTCCCATTATCAAAGTAATGTTTTTTAAAAGATTAAATGTCAAAATGCACATTATTTTGTGTAATACTTTACAGATAATCAAAGTTGACACGTCGACTGGTGAAAGCTGGTCTTGGTGTGAATCTGACTGCTATCCAAGTGAACCTGTCTTTATTTCAGATCCAGGTTCCCGGGTAAGGTCACTTTTTATAATCAGAGCAAATTATTAACCTATTCAAAAACATAATAATTAGCTGAGCATGATACGAGTATATACGAGTACAATGCCGTGCAGTATATTATTAAAGGACAGTGCAATAATAGCGAAAACCTTGTGTTATACATTATGTTTACTAAAAAGGAACACTTTTTTTTTTAAATCATTTTGACTTGAACCTATTTACAACTAAACCCTGATCTTGAATTGTATGAGTTTCCTGTTGGGCCGATCCATACAATACTGCTTGCAAAGTTTTGGCATAAAACATATTAAACGTCAGTGGCTCAGGGGTTTGAGCACTTGACTTGTAATCCATAGGTCTTGAGTTCGAATCCCGCCATGTACCTATTCGAATTTCAATTTTTAAGAATTTCCATAATGTACATTAATTATCCGATGTTATTACATGATATAGTATAGAAAGAAATTATAAGTGTGAAGTCAACCAACCCGTACTTGGCCAGCGTGATTGACTATGGCCTAGTCACCCCTTAATTAAGGTAGGCTCCGAGCCCCTCGGTGGGGATGCATATTGAGCTGATGATAATTATGATAAAATAAATTACAGGAAGAACATGGCGGGATACTATTAAGTGCGTTGCTATGGGGATCACAGGAATGCTCCTTAGGTCTTCTAGTCCTAGACGCTCGAACAATGAAAGAAATCGCACGTGTTGATTTCGAAACTCCCTCTCCAGCACCCAAATGTCTCCACGGATGGTTCCTGCCCGAAAAGTGTGAAGGAGACTTAAAATAAAGAAGCGAAATAAATGATAAAAATGATTTGAGATTGAAACGTGTTTTTGATCTGTTTAAAAGTAGATTTGTAAAAGGAATCAAATATATTTCTGAATATGTATAAAACATGGTTTATCATATTATAAATAAAAGTCAAGCACAAATCTTATTTTTTTATTTCGGACCCGAACAAAAATTAGGTATTTTAAGTAAAAGATGGATAGGGATATGAGGTTAATGAACTTTAGAGATAATGCAAGACAAAATGTATCTAACGTAAAGCTTTATGAAAATACTAGCTTTCGCTCGCGACTCCGTCCGCTTGGCATTAAAAAAAACAAAAGTCAGTAGTCTAGGTGTTCTTCCAGACTATCATTTACGTCTATGCCAAATTTCATCAAGATCCGATCAGCGGTTTAGGCTACAAACATCCATCCATCCATCTAAACTTTCGCATTTAAAATAGTAAGATGTTTATAAAATTAGAACAGGTTTCTATTAAAAAGCTTAGTAACTCAATATCAGCAAGTTGTTACACGTTGTGATTAATCTATATCCTGTTTCAGTGACCATTCATTGAAATGACACATACATCAATGAATATTGATATCTTGCTCCTTCTCTTTGACAAAACAGAGACAACGATATGTATCGCCACAAGTTTCACAGCAGTGGAAACCCAGAGTAATATGCGTATGTAAGCTTAATTCCACGGCACACTATAATTCGTAAACATGATTATCTCGAACCTTTTACGTTATTGAACAAACATTGTGCCATTTAGTAGATATTAGCCCATTACCGTATTAGCTGTTGTGAAATGAACACCCTGTGTACGTGCGATAATTTATTATAGGACAGTGCTCTGACAGATACAAAAAGCGAACGTTTAAACCAAATGTCTATTATTAATAATTCAATGTTCAATAATTCAGAAAGTAATGAGATTGATGTGGAAATTTGGATTGAATTTTTAATAAATTGTCGAAAAGAAGAACCATCTTGGATGAAGACGGCGTTCGTTGTTACTGTATACATAATAATACTCATCAGTTTAATAGAAAATTTATTAACATGTGTAGTTATATGTTATGACAAAACAATGCATACGGCGACTAATTATTATTTATTAAATTTAGCGGCGTCTGATATTATAACAACTCTTGCTGTCTTATTGGGAGCTGTTGATTCTTTTGAAGATGCAAGTTGGACGTGTAAAATACGGTATTTAATAATAATAGTGCTATGGAACAATACGATATTGACTTTAACAATGTTGGCAATCGAACGTTTCGTGGCTATCTGGTATCCTCTACAGTTCCAATCGACTTCAGACTGGCGGAGGGTATTGAAAGTGATCACTTGTATATGGATAATTGCTTTACTGGAGACGGTACCTGAATTTTGGACTTTACAAGTTTTAAAGGCAAATGAAATATTACTTTGTTCGACCGTGCCGACGTCTTTAGCGAGGGTTATCAATGGTGTACTGGCGTTAGTGACTTTTTTGATACCAACAGCGATCATGTCTTACGTTTATTTTATGATAGCATTCAAAGTCAATGTTACGCAAAGGAGTTACTCAAATCACAAGATATTCAACTATCAAGACAACAGGAAGAAAGTAAACAAATTGGTTGGTAAGTTTACCTCCGTAACTTAATGTTAGAATTAATCGCATCTATAATCATCTCCGAGCCCCTCGGTGAGGACGTATAGTGAGCTGGTGATGATCGTCATCTATCTCCTATTCATAGTATTTTGAATTTTAATCGTCGAAGCTTTTTTAAGTATCCAGATACGTTGAGAATTCCAAGTCTCCTTGATTAAACAAAAAAACATCAATGTTGATTAGGAGTATACAATTGTTGAAGTCACTACAAGAATTGATGTCTGAAAATCAAACAGTTGCGAAGAGTTACCACGATGTTAATGAAGGGCCGTCTTCTTTTTCTTTACCTTTTTAATAACGAATAAGCTAGAACATGACCACGATTCCACTTAATGTTTACTTGGAATGAACGTAAATCGTAGGCGCTTGTTTAATAAGTACTAGTACACACTATTCTCAAAGGCCTCATTGCTGAAAGTTTCATTACCCTGCTTTATTAAAATCTTTACTTTTAAACTAGCTTTCGCCTCAAGTAAAATAAAAAATAAGTGAGTAGCCTATGTGTTTTTCCAGACTATCCTCTACATTTCGAAGTTTTCCAAGATCGGTTCAGCCGTTAACGCTGCAAACTCAGACAAACGTCCATCCATCCATCCAGATTTCCCATTGATAATACTAGTATGAACTGTGATTAGTATGATTGTTTAATTTATTATTTTTATTGTCAGTAGCGTTGGCTGTATCATTCCTGTTGTGTTGGCTACCATTCTTCACCATGAGAATGCTTATCTTCGCTTTGGAAGTGAAAGAACTGATCGCTTTAGTAAAGGTTAGTATACAAAGTGTTATACAGTCAACTACGTAAATATGTATACATTCATAAAGCTGCAGGAACATGTATATCTATACATGTTTAAGTCCATATACTAAAGACCATGGTAAAGACAAACACGTGCATTCTTAATTCGATTTCAAGTTCTGTACTAATTTGTTATGTAAATGTATACAGATTTGTGGAGCTGACTGTACACTTAATTAGGGTTACAAACCGCTTGTACTTTTAAATTTATATTTTTTGCTTCCAGTGGTGGTTGATCGGCGAAAAGGTGATGTTTGTTAACGGATTCTTCAGCGTTGTCCTGCATCCGATACTCTTCAGTTTAATTTCTACCAAATTTAGAGAATCGCTAAAGGTACTTAAATTCTAAAATTATACTTTTGTGTATTCATGAAATCTAAGACATCTTTATGCACATAAATTAATATGTATTATATTTTTACAGAGACTGTGGATAAGTAAAATTAAACGTGAAACAAATGTCGCTATGGTGTGACAAACTTTAAGTCGTAATGATATTTTAAATCAAATTCTCAAGAAATGAAGATTTAGTTAAAAGCCCAAACATGTCAATTGACTGTATTTTGACTACCGAAACACAGTGATGACAGAAAGAATCCTCTTAAATGTGTAAATTAATTTACAAACAATAAAGTAGTAATTTGGTTGTTTTAGTTTTATTTACGTTGTGTGAATAAAGGTCGCTGTATACACTCAGACTCAGTTAAGTCAATTTGAACTAGTATCTAACACTTACTGAGTCAATTGTTAATGTAAAAAAAACCATACAGACGAATTGAGTACCTCCTTTTGGGAAGTCGGTCAAAAAAGGAAATTTCGTTACTAAATCCAAATCCTCTGACGTCGATTTCATTTAAAATTTATTTATTTACTTATAACAAATGGACAATCAAACAAGCATCTGATAAAGAAATTGTGCGTATACATAAAATACTAATCTGGTACAAAACAATTACATGTAGTGATTTATTAAGGTTAAACGTACTTGACATTTTTGATTTACATAGATATCCCTTGATAAGGGCGTATCCATAAATTCACCAGTTGCGGTGTAAGGGATCTTGGACCAAAAAATGAAATTCGATTCTTATTTCTATATAATTTAGCCAAAAAAAAAAAATCCATACACTTATTAACGTAAGCAATGCATGTGAATTGATTTCTGCAAGTTGTTTTTTTAAATAATAATTTACTTAATTTGGGTGTGTTCGTTTAGCATTGAAATGCCGTGAAAGTTAGTAATTTTACAAAAGATTGCAACAGATGGCAGCATAAGCGTACAGTTTATAGTTCTGGCTTTTTAATATCATTATATCTTTGTATTAAGACTAGTAGGCGTCCGCGAATGCGTCCGAGCGGATCTTAAAAAGCTTAGTAGACTATGCTCTATATTTATGCTAAATTTTATCGAGATCTGTTGTTCATACCTAGTAACAAATATCTATCCATCTATAAAAACATTTTTATTAGTATGATAGTATGAAGTATTTTGTGAAAATAAAAAAGTTGTATTTTAAATTTCCCATAAATCTTCGCTATTTGATCATAACTACATTAAATTTATGACGTTTTACTAAATAATTTATTCCTAATTTGGGTTAGTTAATAAAATAAACAACAATCTTTGATTTTTCGCTGAAGCTCTATGATTTATGTTCTTTATTGAAGTTCACATGTGTACAAGAACTAGTTCGACGGCTTTCACCTTTAACGCTCGTAGTCAAAAACCCTTCAATCTCGCTATTACTTTATACATCAAAGACCTCATTTCTAATAACCGCAAGAAATACACAAGAGTAACTGTGAAAAACAAAACATAGAAAGTTGCTATTCATAGTGTTTCAGTTAAAAGTACAAAAGATTTTTTTTTTAAATACATCAAAAGGCTCAAATTTAATTCATTGATCGAGATCGTACACTTCATGATAAAATTAACAAATTAAAAATGACTGCATAACTATACGAGTAATCGAACACTACGTTCAAGACATTCTATCGAAGGTTCCAGAAACTTTAAAAATACTCAATGGACTAAGACTGGGACAAAATAACGTTTCAATGATCACATTCCCATAAAACTAACATAAGATCTGATCGATGTAGTGTGAAAATGGAGGAATCGAATACATTTCTAATGATAATCATGATGACGACATTATAAATGACGATGATTATGCTACGAGAGTAAAGTTTCACGTAATTGTAACACCAGCGGTTGTAGACTTAGCTTTACAAAAATTAATCCACTTAACAACATTGAATATACATAATATGTATATTGAGCAAACACGATTATTGCGGGGCCCATTATCTGGCAAATAGAGACCGATGGTGTGCATTGTGCTTCATTATAGTGTTAGCTTCACATAGATAAGCGTTTCCATCGGAGGTTAAAATAGCTCCAGAAAAAGAGAAAACAAAAATGAGTAATGTTACAGAAGATACAAGTGAATTTGATATCGAACAATGGTCAAAATTTTTAGTGAGTGTCAGAGGTGAGGAGCAGACTTGGACAATTGTGCTCTCCGTAGTTATTCTAGTAGCAATAT